AGGTGATGAGGTTCCAGACAGCGATGACTGTGTCCTCAGGGATGTGGAAATGGAAGAGCTCAATGCTGGCAAAGGAGCGGAAAGGGCTAAGCTTGCGTGGTGTGCGGGTGAAGTAGTCAGTCACAAAGAGCCCATCTGTAGAGGAAACCAAAAGGACTCTCAGCAGAGTGGAGAACTAGGGGAAGGGAGGAGCACCATGCCTCCCAAACCAAGCTCTGAACATGTCCCAGAACCAGGAGGCAGGAATGGATGGTGGTGTGCCATTTCAGTGAGTCCTTAGGGCTGATGTCAGCTGTGCCCAGCTGTATCTCCAGCCTTGGCACAGTTTGCATCACGCCTGATTCAGCATTGCCTCAAGCCCAGTTCCCCAAGCTGTGGGCACTCATCTTCTGGAGCCTGAGGAACCTTTGGCCTCACCTGCTCACACTCAGCCTCGGTGCAGCCCACCTCTTTCAACTCATCATCCTCTTCAGTGGAGATCTGCTCCCTGCATTTAACCTGTAATAAAGAGCTGTTCCTCATAGCTCCAGCCCTGCCCAACAGGTCAGCTCCCCCAGGGACACAGATTTCCCCTCCTCTGCTGCCAAGGATGACCAGCACAGAGCCCATCATAAACCACAGAGTCCTACCCTAGAGCTAAGAGAAGAAGGAGCGAGCAGTGCACTTCCTGCAGAGTCTTCCAGCTCTCCCATGGTTTGTGGAGGAGGAATGGTGCACATATGTGTGCACATATGCACACGTGGGTGCTGTCTGCGTGCGCGGCGATGCGGAGGCGTGCACGCCCACAAGCATGGGTGCAGGTTGCTGAGCACAGCCCCATGCCTGCAAGACACTTCCTGCAGGCCCACAGCACTCACTGGGACCACCTCCCCTTGCCCAACTGCCTGACAGTTTGATTTCAAGGGTTTTACAGGACCCCAGCATCAGAAGGGCAGCGGCTTCCTTGCCACAATAGAGGCAAGGGAGTCCTGGTCTCGACAGCAGATGCAACTTCACCCTACCATTGCCACACTTCCCCAGTGCCTGGGAGACCCATCCATTATTCCCCAGAGATGTACCAAGGATTAAATGCACCTCCACGCAAGCTGCCAGCAAGTGGGATGCCAACAGAGGATGGGCTGGGAGAAGGCATGTGCCAAGAAGGAGCTGTCCAGCTGGGAGTGGGATAGCAGACAAGAAGGGCTGGTTTGCACAGCATGAACCTGGCTGGGAGTGCCTGCATGTGCTTGCGTGCACATGTATTTTTGCTGTGTGTGTGCAGCCCCAGCCGGCTGTACACTGACATGCATCTGCTCCCTTGCCTGGAACAAAGGCAGCTCCCCCTCCCCTTCGCTTCCAGACAACACAAGCCAGGCATGAAATACCTGTTTCAATGCAAGAGCGCCTGATCCCAATTTCCCCACCATGAATCAACACGACACTCCACAGTTCCCCTCCCCACATGCAGACAGTGACCCAGCAAGGGACCCAAGGGAACATGGGGTGTTGAACCCCATAGGGGGAACCACTTGGAGCTTCCCAGTCCCTGGGCAGTTTCCTCCATGCCCACTTGCACAGGGCAAACAGTGAGGAGGCAGCTGCAGGTCAATCTGAAATCCAGCAGCCTCATGACCAGAGCACGGGACGGTTGCTGGAGGATGGAGAGGAATTTCCTAGCTATGGAAGGGGGAAGAAGGAAGAAAGCAAGCACCCTTCTGGCAGGGTGGAAGCCGCGGGACCACAATCGCAGGTCGCGACAGGCAATCAGCTCCACTAACAGCCAGCTCTGGGTCAGGCGGTCAGCACCGCGGACAGCTCCGGGCGCGATCGGTCAGCACCGCGGACAGCTCCGTGTCGGGGCGGTTAGCGCCGGGGGCAGCTCAGGGTCCGGGGGTAAGCACCGCGGGCCGCTCTGGGTGCAGGGCGTTCAGCACCGCGGACAGCTCCAGATCGGGTGCTCAGCACCGCGGACAGCTCCCGCGGGGGCCCCACCGCTGCCCCACCGCGGCCCCCGACCTGCGGCACCGGCAGTCCCCCTCCAGCTGTGTCCCCCCCCTCCCGGGGACCCCCCTACAATTCCCTGGGTACCCCTCCACATGCCCTTCGCCAATCCAGCTCCCCGTGCCCCACAGCACCCTCACCTTTGCACAGTTCCACCAGTGCAATCCCCCTCAAACTTGCTATGCATACAACCCCCTCTCTGTCCATCCCCGCTGCCCCATCGCAAGCACATAGCTCTCTGCCCTCCACCTGCAGTCCCCCGGGCCCACGTCCCACGCACATGAACCATCCCCTGGCTGTTCCGCAGCATGTGTACTGACTGCGTCCTGCTGGCACGCACACCTCTGTGACCCACCGCACACTTATCTCCATGCCCCACTGCTCGGGCATCCCAAGCCCTCAACATGCTTGTCGTCGTGCCCCACACCATGCACATCCTCACTCCCCCATTGCATTGGCGTCTGGTACCCTCTGCACACGCATCCTCATGCCCCGTTATGCAAACATCCCACGGCACACGCACTTCTGTGTCCCATCGCACCCACGTTGCGCCCTCCTGCTGCACGTCCCTGACCCACGTACCCCCACCTCCTGCCCCATCTCACACATGCTCCACACACAACCAGGCTCACCAATGTGCCCTGTTGCTTATGTGCCCCAATACCCACTCCGTGCGCACCCCATCCATCCCTCCTTGCACCGAGCTTCCATGTCCCACTGCACGCACATCCCACACTCCCTAGAGCCAGCTGCATCCCACTCCCTGCCCCCAGCCCCACTGCGTGCACCCCCCACATCCCATCCGTCCCGTACCCCATCATTCCCATCACAAGCTCGCTCCCCCTGCCCCACCACCCGAACACCAAGCGCCCCACCCGCGCGCATCTCCATCCCCCCCATACCTCCCTCCCCAACCCCCGGGTGCCCCGGGGCCGCCGTTGGCCCCCGTCCCCCCCCAGCCCTCTGCCCGGCCGCGGGTCTCACCGGCAGGGCCCGGCGGCAGGAGGAGCGGCAGGAGGAGGAGGAGCAGCGCGGGCTGGAGCCGCTGCCCGCCGCCGGACCGGACCATGCCGCCGCCACGGCTGCCGCGGGGCGCGCGCCCACAGCAGCCCCGCCGCGCATCGGCGGCCATGACGTCACCCGCCCCGCCCCCTCCCGCCACCATTGGCCCCCACCAGCGTCACTCGACAGAGGCAGCCCCCCCCCGGGAGATACCGCCCACATCCTCCCCCCCTCCATCATGTCGCTGGTCGGGGCAGTGGGGAAAGGGACAATGAGCGGGGACATGGGCATGGGGCTGGGAGGGACAATGAATGGGGACAGTGAATGGGGACAGGAATACGGAGCTGGGGAGACGGACATGGGGGTAGGAGGAGGATAATGTATGGGGGCACGGATATGGGGCTGGGAGGGAGACAATGAAAGGGACCAGGGACATGGGGCTGGGGACAGAGATATGGGGCTGAGGACGGGGACAATGAATCGGGACAGGGATACGGGGCCGGGAAGAAGGACTTAGGGCTAGGAGGGGGATAATGAATGGCAGCAGGGATATGGAGCTGGGGACAGGGACAATGAGTAGGAGCAGCGATAAGAGCCTGGGGACAGAAACAAGAAGAAGGAACAGGAATATGGGGCTGGGGACAGGAACAATGAGTGGGGACAGGGACATGGGGTTGGGGAGAAGGACATGGGGCTAGGAAGGGAGACAGTGAATGGGAACAGGGATATGAGGCTGGGGACAGTGATAGGGAGCTGAAGACAGAAACAATGAAGGAAGAGAGAGATGCGAGGCTGAGGTCAGGGACAATGAATGGGAACAGGGTTAGGGGGTTGGGGGCCGGTACAATGAGTGGGAAGAGGGATATGGGGCTGGGGAGAAGGAAACAGGCTGGGGACAGGGATAAGGGACTGAAGGGAGAGGGACAAGGGAGCTGGGATATGCACTGGTGCTGAGGACAGGGATAAGAGCTGGGGAACAGGGCAAAACCTGAGGTCCAGGACACAGGGCCTGGGGACACGGGACATGGAGCCGGGTTGCAGGTGGGCATAGGACCGCAGGACACAGCTGAAAGGGGCTGTGGGGCTGGGACACGGGGGTCAAGTGGGCTAAAATGCTGGTGGCAAACAGGGCAATTTGTGCAGAGGGGATGGGAGGCAGCAAAGGCTTCCTATGGGGCTGAGGGGGCTACCTGTGAGGCTGTGATGTGGGTTGGGTGGCTTTCTAGCGGTGGGTACAACCTTACTAGAATAAGTTATACCACTGACCTTACAGAGGTGTCCGTGAGAGGGGCTCTGCATGCGGGGATGGGAGAATCCTGACCTGAACCGGCCTCATCGCGCTTCCCAAATTCCCCTGACATCAGCCTCATCCTCCCCTGACAACACCGTCCCCCTTAACCAAGGCGAGTGACCCACGGTGTGCACAGCCCCACTTCGGGTCACTCCCATCCCGATCCCCTCCTCTCCGCGGAGCGCCCGGGGTGCTGTAGAGGACCGGCCAACCCCAGGGGTCTATCCAACAGCCCCGTGCCCCCCTCGGCCACTGCTGGGGTCCCACGGGTCCGGAGCACCCGTGGGAAGGGGACCGGCAGCCACTGCCCCCCGAAAAGCCGCAGGGTCCCTCCGGGACAGTCCCGTGAGCGGCACGGGCGGCTGTGTGTGCCCGCGGGGGCGCCGGGGCACCCCGCACCCATGGCTCCGCAGTGCCTGTGCCGGTCCCTCTCTTCCCCCCTCACGCTCCCGCCCCGGTCCCGGTCCCGGTCCCACCGGTGCGGCGCATTTTCTTCCTCCGGCCGCCAGGGTGCGGTAGCGCTCCGAGAGGCGCTGCCGCCGGCGCCGCTCTGCCCCCTTTCTCTTCCCTGGTGCTGATTGGTGATAGCCGACGGCAGTGAGCAGCCGTCGTGACGTCACTTCCGCCAGTGGCACTGGTACCGTGTGGGCAGGCGGCGGCGGCAGCTCCCGGAGCCGGGATCCGCCGGCTCAGGCCCCGCTCCCGTCTCTCTCAGACCCCACCGGTACCAGCGCTGCCCCCCCGGGACATGGAGTTCCCGGCCGCTCTCTTCCCCTCCCACTTCGGAGCCGGCCCGCCCCGGCAGGAGGGGGGCCTCGCTCCGGCCGCCGGCTGGGGCGAACGCGGGCAGGTGCTGGAGGCCGGTCCAGGCCGCCACCAGGTGAGACCGCGGCGCAGCCCGTCCTGCCCGGGCCCCGGGGCGTGGGGGGGGTTGGGTCGCGCCGGGGACGCCCTCACCCCCCCCGCCGCCTCTCCCTGCAGGCCGAGCCGGTGTTCGTGCCCCGCCGCGGTGGGGCGGGCGAGAGCTGGGACCCCGCCGACGCCGCCGTCATACCCTGCCTGCCGCCTAACGCGAGTGAGAGCCGTGGGAGGGGTGCGCTGCCAGGGGTGGTGGGGGGCACATCCCGTTCCACCTCCACACGCGCTGCTCGGGATCCCACCCGGGCACCGGGGGCTTTAGCAGCTCCCCTCGGGGATGTTTTGCACAGGAGGGAGTGCGAACGGGTGAGCAGTTTCCCCCCGTGCTGTATTGTCATGCCAGTACTGGCCCCTTCCCTCTCCCCACAGGCTGCTGGGTCCCCTCAGTCGCCCCTCGGGACATCCTCTACCGCGGCATGCTGCACAGGAAGCTCCAGGAAGGCAAGTCCGGAGGCACACTGGACTTCGCCAAGCAGGTAGGGCCTGGGGCACCATGTCCTGCGAGGATCTGGGGGGACGGCGTGGGATCCCTGCGCATCCTAACCCCTCCCTGGCCTTCCGTCACAGCTGAGCCATTTCTTTGTGGATCACCCAGAAGATGCATTTGGCTCCCTGGGGCAACTGCTGCACAAGAACTTCCACTTGGGCGACTCGGGCCTGAGGGTCAGTGTCAATCCAGGGGCAAAACCTGCTTCCAGACGTATTCCTCGTGCAGCTGCCAGCCCAAACCTCTGTCCCCACAGAGACCGGCTCGGGAAAGCACCATCCGGATGACAGCCTTGATGGAGGAAATTGAACGTTTAGAAGGCAGGCGGTAAGCATCAGAATCACAGAATGGTTTAGGTTGGAAAGGACCTTAGGATCATCACTTCCAAGGTCCCTGCCATGGGCAGGGACACCTCATACTAGAGCAGGTTGCTCCAAGCCCTGTCCAACCTGGCCTTGAACACTGCCAGGGATGGGGCAGCTACAGCTTCTCTGGGCAACCTGTGCCAGTGTCTTACCACCGTCACAGTGAAGAATTTCTTCCTTATATCCAACCTGAACTTCCCCTGTTTCAGTTTGAACCCATCAGCCCTTGTCCTATCACTACAGTCCCTACTGAACAGTCCATCCCCAGCATCCCCATAGCTCCCCTTCAGATACTGGAAGGCTGCTATGAGTTCTGTATCCCATGCCCTGGCAAGGTCTGAGGGTGTCCTGCTCTCTCCCCCACTGACACTGTTTCCCCTGCAGCGGCTGCCCCCAGAAGCACGTTGTTTCCCGCCTGCGCTGGTTCTCCCACCTCTGCCGGGACTGGCTGTTCGAGATGCCACTGGTGATGCTGGCAGACTGCGTGCATGAGGAGCTGCTGCTACAGTGGGCCAGCCTGCTCTTCGATGACAGCCCTACAGGGGGGGCGCTGGCCTGGCTGCCCCCCAAAGACACTGGGGCACGCGTGGGCTGCCTGGTGTACCCCAGAGGGCCGGCCATGAACCACCTCTGTATCCTTTCACATGAGGTGTCCCTGGGGTGGCAAGGGGGAGGGTTGTGTTGCGCTGCCCTTAGCTAGCACCCCAGATTTCCAGGACATGGTGCTGGAGAAGCTACCCCATGCCCAGGGCTCCCCAGCACGGTTTGAGCTCAATGGGCACATACGGCAAATAGCTGCTGCACGGGTGGATGGGGAAGGTGAGCCAGACGCATGATCCAAACCTCGGGCAGGGGGTAGAGGGGTGGCAGGGAGCCCCCAGGATGCTGTCATCTCACTGTCCCATTCCAGATTTCGTTGGTGTCCGCTCAGACTATCACTGTGGTGTTTGGAGGGTGTCAGGCAGGATGGGAGCAGCTCCCACCCCACTGCAGGTGATCCGCACCAGCATGCCTGCCTCCTGTCTCACTGTCAGGTAGGCAATGAGGGAAAGGAGCTCTGCAAGGAGGGGCTCTGCCACCTCTGCAGCCCTCCCTGCCACAGGAGATACTCTCATCCCTGTGGTGATGCCATCCACACCATCCTGCAGCCCTCACCTCCCTGGGGAGCTGGCTGTCTGCACCCAGAGCGGAGCTGTCTACCTCTGGAGCGTCGAGACAGGGTGAGAGGGAGCGTTAAGGCCTGGGAAGGGGGCTCAAGCAGACCCCTGGTCTCAAAGGAGAGAGGGACCCAAGAAAGAGGGGCTCTGCCATCACTGTCTTCTCCAAACAGGCTACAGCAGCTCCGACACGACCCGCAGACCATGTTTTTCCGGGACCACTCACCCTGGCGCTGGAGCGACTTCACTGCCCACCCGCGTGTGCTGAGCTGTGCTGACCGCACTGGCCTGCAGTGCCTGGACACCCGGGTGAGCACAGGGCATAGGGCTGGTGATGGAAGGGGTGAGGGCTCCCCAGCCTGGGGTGCTGACAGACCCTACCCTGCTGCCGCAGGTCCCTGAGAGGTGCCAGTTTGACTTGTTCAAGGTGGGTGAGGAAGCCAGCTGCCAGCGGGGCGAGCGTGTGGTGCTGCCTATGTACCTGGGCAAGGCTCATCCTTCCCAGCACCTTGTCACCACCCAGGTGAGTCCCATCACACCTCAGGGGGACACCCCAGGCAGGGGGGACTGCCACAACATATCAGTGTGTGCCCCCCTAAGTCATGCCTCCCATCCTAGTTCTCTGTGTACGTGCTGGATGAGCGGTTGCCACTGGTGCCTGTGCTCAAGTGGGTACACATGATGAAGGACCCCCCTCTCTTTGCCCACCTGATACCAGGGGGCTCTGAGAGGAACCATAAGGTGCTGCTTGGCACATCCTGCACCCAGGAGCTGTTACTGCTGCAATACCGGGGTGAGTGAGAGATGGGGCTTGGTGGTTGCTGTGGGTGCTTATGTGCCCACGTCCCAGCATCTTCACTGCTGGGACAAGCTGTCACCCCTGGCCATTTTTTTGTGTGTTGTTCCGCAGGGGACAGCCAGTCAGTCTGCCAGCTAGCAGGACCTCCACAGAAGCTGCACAGCATCGCTGGCTGCCTGCAGCACCTACCTGCACAGCTCCCGCACAGACACTGGCTGCTCCAGCACCGCCTGAACACCCCAGCGGCTGGTGAGGGCCCTGTGCCGACCTGGGGTGTGGGTCTTGGTGGGGAGGGGTGTGGGCTAGAGGGGGGTGAAGTGTAGCCCTGGGAAGGTAGTGGTTGAAAAAGAAAAAGCAAAGCCCTGAACAACCCTGTGCAAGAGATTCATGACTGAGAAAAGGACATGGGGGGACAGGAGCCAGCAGTGAGTGTGCCCATGTGGGCTGGAGGCAGCCCACGCTGCTGGCCAGGCCCCAAGGCAATGTGTCCCCTGTCGCCACAGGTCTGGCTGCCACAGTGGAGAAGGATGGACCACAGGAATCCCTGCTGGTTTTCCAGCTCTCTGAGGCCGGGGATGTCTTCTGCCAGAGGCTGACTCACAAGGCAGCGCATCCCCCTCCACCAGCTGCGGTAGATGAGGCCACAACAGCCCCTGGCTCTTCCCCTGTCTTCACGTCTCCAGTCAGGAGGCCGCCAGGCTTGGGCAGTGAGGAGGAAGAGCAAACTTTGTCCAATCCAGAAGTGATTTTCAATGAGGAGGAAGAGCAGGTGTTAAACACTCCAACAGCCCAGGATGATGCCGATCTGCCACAGCCACCCTGTGCCAGCCCAGAGCCCTCCCCAGTGGTGCCCAGCCCAGACACTGACCTGCTGTACCGCCCCTGGCTGAAGGCCCTGTTCAAGGGCTGCAAGAAGCACCTCCGGCACACCTCGCCTTCTACCATCAGCCAGAATCGCCTGTTCTTCCGCAAAGAGCTGGAGGCACCGGCAGCGCCCAATGCCCTGCAGGAACGGGCACGCCAGCGGCTGCGCCAAGCTATGCGGGAGGGGGGCCGCATCCAGCGCAGGGACTTCACGGACCTCCAGACCTGCACCCCACCGCAGCCTCTGGAGGTGGAGGGAGATCCCGACCCCCTGAGCACCCGTCTAACGGCAGCCTGGTCCGGGGATTGGGGCCAGTGGTGGGAGGAGAGGACGAGCTTCCAGCTGGTGCAGGCGCAGAGGGCGCTGCGGGAGCGGCGGCGGCGGCAGAAGCAAGCCCGGGGCCGGCGCAGCCTCTCGGCCAGCTTCACCTCGTCCCTTACGTACCAGTCCGAGCTGAGCGACTCCGGCCCCCTGCCACCCACCCCCGGGCTGTCCCAGGAGCGCAGCCTGCCGCCGCTGCCACCCTCCAGCCCCCCGGCACCGCCGGAGGACGGGCTGCTCTCCTCGCAGAGCCTGCGCTCCCGCGGCATCCCCAAGGAGCGGCGCAGGACGTTGCGAGTCTACCTCGGGATGTGGGACGAGCCGCTCGCCGACGCCGCCGAGCCCCCCGGGAGCCAGGCCAGCCAAACCTGCATCCCGTCCTCACAGAGCCAGCTCTCCTCCGCTTCCCAGACCCGCCGCAAGCGGCCGCGCATGGGCTTCTGAGCCGCAATAAACACGGGCAGCACCGCTTCGCCTTCCCGCGTCCTTGATCTCGGGGCGGGGGGATGCGTCCCGTGTGCCGGGTGCGATCGTGGTTTGGGTACCGGCAGAGCGGCCGGGGGTGCCACACGTGTGTGCGGGCCCTTTAAGGCGCTGGGAAGGGGGCGGGATTAGGGGTGTGAGTGACGGGAGCGGGAGGCAATGGGGCGGTGGAGCGGGGCCTGCGCCGCGGCCATGGCGGCGCTGCTGGCGCGGGGGCTGGTGCGGGGAGCGCTGCGTGCGGGGGAGGTGCGCGGGGGAACCGGAGCGGAGGGGGTCGGGGGGGACGGGACACCGGAGGAGGGAGGGCGGGGAGCGGGGTATGGCCGGGCCCGAACGTGCGCTCCGCGCCGCCGCTGCTCACAGCCCGGGCAAGGTCCGCGGCGGGGGGGGTCCGCACGGCTCCCTTGCGGGCCCTCTTCCCGCACACACACACACACATACACCAACCAGACCCCATGGGTGTCAGCTCCGTGTGCTCTCCCCTGTCACTCCCACGGGTGTCACCTATGCGTGCACCCCCTGTGACCCCCATGCGCACTCCTGATCACCCCACCATGCACCTCCCATCACCCCCGTACCTACCCCTCGTCACCTTTGCACGCGCGTTCCCCGCCCGTTCGGTCCGTCCGTCCCCCCCCCCAAACTTCGTTCCCCTCCCAGCAGCGGATCCGGTACTGGTGACCCCCCCACCCCCTCCCGTCCCTAACGGATGCCCCCCCCCAGCACGCGGGTCCGGTCCTCCCGTGTGCATCCCGTGACATACCCTGGTTGTGCCCGTCCGGTCCGTTACCCCGTCCCACCCCCGGCTGTAGGCCAGGTCCCCCCATGGGCATCCTGTGACCCCCCCCCCCCCGGTTCTGTCCGTCCGTCCCCTCCCGTATCCCCGTGCCCCGGCCGAGGCTCCGGTTCCCCTGTAACCCCTCCGGTGTACCCCCCGGTGCAGCGCTGCACGTCCGGCGGTCGGGGCGGGGAGGTGGACAAGGCGCATCGGGCGGCGGCAGCCGGCGGCAATGCGGGGGGACAGCCCACCATCTTCAGCAAGATCATCGCCCGTAGCGTGCCCGCCACCATCCTCTATGAGGACGACAAGGTAGCGGGGACCCCCGGCAGTGTCTCCATGGAGGAAGGGTGCAGCACCCATGGGAACGGGGCTCACTCTGCTTCCCCCCCCCCGACAGTGTTTGGTCTTCCGCGATGTGGCCCCCCAAGCCCCTGTCCACTTCCTGGTGATCCCCAAGCGCCCCATCCCCCGGATCAGCTGCGTGGGTCCCCAGGACACTGAGGTGAGGCCGGGGGGGTTCCCTGTGAACAGTGGGGGGGGGGGTTCAACACTCAGTGCTGACCCTTATGCTGCCCCCTCCCCACCACAGCTCCTGGGGCACTTGCTGGTGGTGGCTGCTCGCACGGCACAGGCGGAGGGGCTGGCTGATGGGTACCGCCTCGGTGAGTTGGGGGTCCCAGGGGGCTGGGGGTGTCTGAGGGGGTGTCCTGAGCCTCTGTCCTTTTCTCCACAGTGATCAATGACGGGAAGCATGGCGCTCAGTCTGTCTACCATCTGCACATCCATGTGCTTGGGGGGCGGCAGCTGGGGTGGCCCCCTGGTTGAGCCCCCCCACACTATCTGATGCTCCCCAGTAAAGCATCTCCTTGGTGGTGGCTTCATTGGCTCTGTGTCAGGGTGGCTCTCAAGCGTCACAGTAACAGGGACATGGGTGGAACTGGGTGCCTTGCTTATTGGAGGGGCTGTCTGAGCTCCGCACATCCCAACCTGCCCACACTGGAGATGCTCTGGGACCCCCCAGTTGAAGGAGGTTTTTGGGGGGTGCCCACATCCCACAGACTAAAGGCCCATCGGGAGGTCAGGGTTCCCAAGCTGACGAATGTCCCAGCAGCGCCCCATGCCCTGAGCTGCCCACCCAGCCCCACTGCCACAACACAGCCCCAGCACTCCTGCGTGCCCCTCACCCTGCCTTTGGGTGACCCGTTTGTGCACCATAATGCAAAACTCACTGCACACCTTACCCCGGACCCCCTGCGCTTGCAGCACTGTGCAAAGCACATGGCACTGCTCACCCCAGACACCCTGTGCTATTGCACTGTGAACAGCAGAGCTCTGTGCATGCACTACTGCGCACAAAACAGTGTTGCACGCCCCAGAGCCCTGTGCCTGCATTGTGCTGTACACCCCAGACCCATTGTGCATGCACCCCTGTGCAAGTGCTGCACCCCAGCCCCTCATGCATGCACCACAATGCAAGTGTTGCATACCCCAGACCTCTGTGCAAAAGCGTTGCACTCAAGACCCCTTGTGCCTGCATTGTGCCGTACACCCCAGACCCCTTGTGCATGTACCCGTGTGCACGTGCTGCACACTCCAGACTCCTGTACATGCACAACTAAAAAACAGTGTTCTACCCCCGGGCCTACTTTGCACACTCAGGACCCCTTGTGCCTCCATTGTGGTGCACATTCCCAACCATTGTGCGCAAACCAATGTGCAAATCAGTGCTGCACACCCCAGACCCCTTGTGCTTGCATTGTGCTGTACACACCAGGCCCTTGTGCATGCACCCCTGTGCAAGTGCTGCACACCAGCCCCTCGTGCATGCACCACAGCGCGAGTGTTGCATCCCCCAGACCCCTGTGCAAAAGCATTGCACACTCAAGGCCCTTTGTGCCTGCACTGCCCTGCACATCCCCATCCCTTGTGCACTCACCACTGTACAAAACACATGACATTGCACCCCATGCTGTGGGCAGCACTGCACACATGCATGCCTCTGTTTACACACACGCCCCACACACATATGTCCCTGTGTCCCCACTGCCCTGTGTCCCCACACATGCTCCGAGCCCGTTGCCTCCCATGCACCGTGCTCTGGGGCTATATTTAGTGTCGGTGCTGGTGCTGTGGCGGCGCACGTCGCACCTGGCACCGGTGCCAACCGCGCAGGGACCGCAGCACCGCGGTGTGAATGGCAGCTCTGTTCTGCACGGCGCCGGCGGTGGGGCCCCTGGAGAACCGTGGTGCTTCCACACACGCCCAGTATAGCACGGGAATGTTTTCAGGGTGCAAATGAGCCTTGAAGATGTTGGATGATGATGGCGATGACGCGGGCGGCCGGGACCTGGCCGAGCTGCAGGGCAGGATGGGGATGGTCATGGACATGGGATAGCCCTGCCTTGGGGCTGCAGAGACCAGGGGGTGGGGGTTCCTGGGACTGGGAACCCCCAAAAGAAGATGGGTGCCTCTGTGGAGATGGGGACCCCAAAGAGGGGATGAGGTTCACTAAGGAGGTGGGGACCCCAAAGAGGGGATGAGTGCCCCTGCCGAGGTGGGGACCACATAGAAAGGATGGGGGTCCCTGGAGACCCCAAAGAGAAGCTGGGTTTCACTGGGGAGGTGGGGACCCCAAAGAGGGAATGAGTGCCCTTTGGGAGGTGGGGACCACATAGAAAGGATGGGGGTCCCTGGGGACCCCAAAGAGAAGCTGGGGTTTACTGGGATGGTGGGGACCCCAAAGAGGGGGTGGGTGTTCCCGGGAAGATGGGGACACCAAAAGATAAGATAGGTTCCCTGTGGAGGTAGGACCCCAAAGAGGAAGTAGGTGTCCATGGGGAGGTGGGTTCCCCAGGAGGGGATGGGGGTCCTTGGGGAGGTGGGAAACCCAGAGAAGGGATGGGTGTCCATGGAGGGTGGGGACTTCAAAGAAGAACTGGGGTTCACTAGAGAGGTGGGAACCCCAGAGAGGAGCTGGGGGTTCCTGGGGAGGTGGGGACTTCATAGAAAGGCCAAGGATCCACAGTGCATCATCCCTCCAAGCCTACCCAGAGCAATCCCCCAGGATGGGGCATAGGGCAAGAGCCTGCACACGAGGTCAGGGTCCGTACGGCTGCAGCCACGTTTCGTCCTGCGCAGGGTTTATTTTGTCATTCCCCAGGCAGCAGAGGGGTCACAGCCCCATGGGGCCGGGGGCAGGGGAGCAGCGGCTGTTTTCATTCCTCAGCTGAACGAAGACTATCACAAATGACGCAAGTTCCCAAAAGAGCCGAGCAGGGGGGGTGATGGGGGATGTGTCAGCCAGGAGAGGCAGCCAGATGTGCTCCAGCAGCTGCCGCGCTGCTGCCCCACGGCGATGCTGCCTGCCAGGGTGCAGCCCCGCAGTCATGCCCCCTATACCCCCCTAGAGTGAGTGCACACCCCCAAGCTGGCATTGTTGGGTCCCCGTCCCACACTGTGCTGTGGTGCCTTTGTTGTCCTGTAGTCACCCATGCTGCCTGGCTACGCTTCCGCCTCCCCCAGGGTGTGGCATCCAGAGATGCTGCTGGGATGAGCACCCTGGAGTGGAAGCTGGGGCAGGACACCCCCCTCCAGCATGAGCTGGAGCACTGGTGCAACTCAGCCCAGCCCAGGACATGACCAGCAGCTCTCCACCCTCCCAGCGAACCCCCAGTGCTTGGGACACCCTGACCTCCAGTGGCGTCAGGCCCTGATGCAGTCTCGCTGTGGGGGGCCCCTTTGCTGGAGCCTGAGCTCCAGGCATGTCTCTGCCTCCTCCCCGCAGCTGCGCTGCAGATGGGCTCGCAGCAGCCCCTGCTTGGCCCGGAGCCGAGCGCCCGCAGGGAGGAGCGGTCCCCCTCGGGGGCCCCGGCTGTCCGAGGCCAGAAGGGCCGGGCACATCCCGGCCAGGAAAAACAGAGGCCCCATGGCCAGGCGTGCGGCGGCCCCGTCGGCACACACCGCAGAGAGCTGGAATAACAGCCCTCGTGCCGGAGCCCGCCGCGCGCTATCAAAGGGCCCTTCTTCTGCCTGAAGAACGGGGGCCCAGCGAGGGCTGGCAGCGAGGGGAGCTGCCCCACGCCGTCGGGGGGCACCCACTGCGTCCAGCCAGTGGCCGGGCACATCCCGCCCCATCACCCTGTGTGTGCCCAAATGGTGTTGGGGGATCACTTGGATCAAGCCATGGGGAGCAGTGTGTCCCCAGTGCGGGGCTCGTCCCGCCGGCAGAAGCCGAGCTGTGCCAGCACGGGCATGGTGCCCACCCGGCTTCCACTGGAAGAGCCTCTGGGGCAGGTCCGAGGCACCGGGGCCTTGCGGGAGAGGGGGACACGCACGGACCCATAGCGGGGACAGACCCCGGGGCTGCCATGTGCCTGCACGCCCCTGCCCCGGCCACGCCCCCTTGCCCCGGCCACGCCTCCCTCGATCAAGACCCCGCCCCTTTCATATATATCGCAGCTGCGCTTTGACCCCGCCCTCTCCCTTCTCTCCGCCAATAGAAGACGCGCTTCCACCCGGCGCCACCAATCAGCTTGCGGAGCGGCCTGTGTTTACGGTCTCCATGGAGACGGAGCAGCTCCTCTCGGTGCAGGTGCCATGGACGGGGCGCCCCACGGGTGGGTGAAAGGACATGGGGTGACCCCCGACGGAGGCGCTTGGAGGGCAGGGGTCTTGGGGGGGCTATGGAGCACTATGGGAATGGGGGGGTAGGAAGTGGGGGGGGGGTCTGGGGTACGGCCTGCGGGGGTGGCTCCTGGGGAGGAGGTAGGGGTAGAGCCTGGGCTGGGAGCTGCAGAGCCCTGGGAGGGGACACGGGGGGCGGAATGGGACATAGTGGGGAGCTGAGCCTGGGCTGGGACACTGGATGGGGGAGAGGGGAATTATGGGGGGGGAGGGACGACGGACCTTTCTGAGCGTGGGCACTGCTTCTGAGCCCAAAGGGAGAAGAGTCCCTTGTCCCCCACCCCGGGGTGGGGGTGACACTATGGGGTACCCAGCATCAGGGTCCTGCCCATGCTGGTGGGGGGCTGCAGGCAGGGCAGGGAGGCTGAAAGATGCACCTCACTGCCTTCCCTCAGGCACTGTCCCCTCTCGCAGGGTGGCTCTGCCAAGCCATATGCACCCTGAGGAGAGGCCACTGTACACAGATGGGGCCCAAAGCAATGTCCTCCTGCCTGAGGTGCCCAGGGAGAAGGCCCCGTGTGATGCACTGACAGCCATGACTGAGCTGCCAGCCGTGCCCGCCACAGTGACACCCACCGAGACTGACACGGAACTCTGTGCAGCCGAGCTGCCGCCCTGCCCGGGGAGCTATGGGGCTTCTGCCTGCGAGGTGCCCTCCACCGTGGTGCTGCAGATGCCTGCACGGCAGCCCCCCAGGCTTGTGCCCCGGGGACGCTGCTTGATCCACAACTGGCAGGAGGAGGTAACTCCTCACCATGGGGGGAAATGTCCCTTCAAAACTCACCCCATCGCATCCCACGTGCTGATCACATGAAGCTCCCTGACCCTGGGCAGCCCCCTCTCTTTAAATAGCTTCCCTTGGCCAAGCTGGAGCTCCCTGGATGACCTTGAGCCCAGCGGGATGGAAAGGGGATGAAATTCAATAGCATAAAACACGGGCAAGAACGTGGGGCGCGATGGTGGGGCTGTGGGAGGAAAGCAGGGAGCTTGCTGCTGGGATGTGGGGATGCCTGCTTGGGCAAGCCAGGCTGGGGGGGGGGACATGGGCTAAGCTTTGCTACGGCCTGGGGACCCCATAGTTTGCTCAAGTGCAATAAGAGCACTTGTCCTACATTGGGGCCCAAGCCACAGATGCCCCCACTCCTGCTTTCCCAGTGAGCTGGCTTGAAGGACCATTCCTTCCTTCCCCTCTTT